TGCATATCAATTCAATTCTCTCTGCTCATCTGCCCATGAGCACACAACATCCACGCATGAACCCTCCCCAGGCTCCAGAGACTTTACTAAAGCCTAGGAAGGGCGAAAAACTGCCAAACGCCGAACTGGAAGTTCGGGAACAAACTTCCAGTTTGCCCGTTGTGGCAATTTTTCGCCCTCCCTAGGCTCCAGAGGCTTTCCTGAAGCCTGAGGAGGATGAAAACGGCCTCCCCCATCACTCTGGAAGGGCAAAAATCAGCTGGTATGCCGGAGCTTATGGTTGGCATGCCAACAAATATGGCTCCTTGTGCCACCTGTGGCATGTGTGCCATAGCTTTGCCGTCACATGACTAGAAGATCTCCAACATCCCTTCCAATTGTGCTATTCTGTTATTGGAAGACTGGCACATCTGGGGAGGGAGGGGAGACTTCTCCTACCTGCATTGGAAATTCAATCGCTGTTAATCCTCCATTATAAAGAACTGAGGATCCAGGAGATGAAGATGAGGCCATGAGTGTATCTAAGAGTGAAAAAAAACAGCAAAGGATTAATTTGTTAGCAAACATCCTAAGGATCTTCTTGAGCATACAGTGCAGAAGGCTGATTTTAGCCTATTTCTAGGCTAACTAGGGATCCCCTTTATGTGAGTCCCTTGCAGCCACAGCAACAATACATACAAGCTCACCCTGGGTGAGGAGAAAACGGAAAGGTGAGGAAGAACCAAGGATTNAAAAATACAACATATTCCATGAACATTCCTAACAATGAACACATCAATGAATTAATTACATGCGAATCTTCATCTTAATGAGCAAACTGCAGAGTTTCCAAGTTGGGCAAAGGAGCCTGTTAGGATATTGAATTTAGTAGCTGGAACAGTAAACTCTACAATAGGCCCCAACACAATTGCGATTGATTAGTTAGAGAGTGCTGACTCATGCATGATGCAATCTATCTAACCTATGATTGGTTGCTGTAAGTATAAAGGGGGCGTTTCCCTTTTCCCCTTCCTTTTTTCCTTCTGTGTCTTCTTCATAATGTTCTAGATTTATCTCATGATGTTCCTGACTATCTTCTGTTCTTCCTTCTCTGGATGATTACAAAAATTGCTGTAAATTGGTAGGTTAAATATATTTATATTTATATAAAAGTCTACAAATCTGTGTCAGTATCTTCAACTTCATCTGGACAGCTACTGTGCAGTTTCTTGACAGAACATCTCCTCTGGAGAACTTTTCTCAAAATAAAGTGTCTCTGGCTAGAGATTCATCTAGTTAATGTTTTATTGGTTTAGCTGATTCCACAGGAGCAGCAACCCCATATTCCTTTTTTTGTCCATTGATGGGCTTGACCTTGGATATGTTGGCTAAATCCAATACTCTGTTGATTTTACCCACTGTGGTGAGAGGATGAATCATGCCAAATCAAGGAAAATGGGGTTCAGCGTTTAATTTCTGTGCAAAAGTAAATCTTGGACTTTACTTTTCACCTTGGGCTTAGTATTAGTATCATTTCATAAAATCTCAGTAAGGCCACACCTGGGATACTCATTGGGTTTTGGTGGCATTACAAAAAAGATATTAAGATTTTAGAAAAAGTGCAGAGAAGAACAACTAATAATTCAAGTCCTGAGGACTACAACATATAAAACGATTGCAGGAACTGGATATGGCTAGTCTAGAGAAAATAAGGATTAGTGGAGTCATGACAGCTGTGTTTCAATATTTAAGGTGCTGCCACAAAGCACCAGAAGGCAGGAGAAAAAACAGTGGATGGAAACTAATCATGGAGAAAAGCAACCTGGAATTAAGGAGAAACTTCCTGACAGTGAGAACAATTAACTAATGGAACAGTTTGCCTACAGAAGTTGTGGACAGGAGGTTTTTAAGGGGAGACTGGACATGTCTGAAATGTTGTAGGATCGCCTGCTTGAAACAAGGGGATGGACTAGAGGATCTCTAAGATGAAGGGATCTTAGGAATTTTGTTATTCTGTTATTGGGAGATTGGCACATCTGGGGAGGGGAGGCTCCTCCTACCTGCATTGGAAGTTCAACCGCTGTTAATCCTGCATTATAAAGAACTGAGGTTCCTGGAGATGAAGACGAGGCCATGAGAGTATCTAAAAGTGGGAAAAGAAACAGCAAAGGAATAATTTGCTATCAAACATCCTAAGGATTTTCTTGAGCATACAGTGCAGAGGCTGATTTTAGCCCATTTCTAGGCTAACTAGGGAACCCCTTTATGTGAGTCCCTTGCAGCCACAGCAACAATACATACAAGCTCACCCTGGGTGAGGGGAAAACGGAAAGGTGAGGAAGAACCAAGTATTGGATTCAGAGGCAGCTCTCTCGGCCATGAATGTATGCATTAAACAACCACAGAGGTGGACTCTGGATGCCTCAAGCAGATCCCCTCCCATATCCAGGGAGTTCTGCTGAGTTGTTAATCAGGAATAAAAGGCCTCCCCAGGCACCAACAAAGAGACTCAGTCCTATTCACTTTCAAATTCTCTATCACCTTTCCCAGATATGGGATATAG